GAATCCACGATCCAGGCGGCGGGGACGCCCCACAGCTCTGTCCTGGCTCCCCATGGGGCAGGCGAGGGACTGAATGAATCCACGATCCAGGCGGCGGGGACGCCCCACAGCTCTGTCCCGGCTCCCCACGGGGCAGGCGAGGGGCTGAACGAATCCACGATCCGGGCGGTGGGGACGCCCCACAGCTCTGTCCCGGCTCCCCGCAGGGCAGGCGACGAGGGGATGAACGAATCCACGATCCGGGCGGCGGGGACGCCCCACAGCTCTCTCCCGGCTCCCCGCAGGGCAGGCGACGAGGGGATGAACGAATCCACGATCCAGGCGGCGGGGACGCCCCACAGCTCTGTCCCGGCTCCCTGCGGGGCAGACGAGGGACTGAACGAATCCACGATCCAGGCGGCGGGGACGGCCCGTGGCTCTGTCCCAGCTCCCCACGGGACAGGTGAGGGGCTGAACGAATCCACGATCCGGGCGGTGGGGACGCCCCGTGGCTCTGTCCCGGCTCCCCACGGGGCAGGCGAGGGACTGAATGAATCCACAATCCGCGTGGCAGGGACGCCCCGTGGCTCTGTCCCGGCTCCCCAGCCGGGGATCGGCGCCCCAGCGAGAGCTCCCGGGCCCCTGGCCCCCGGACGGCAGTACGCCTGCCCCGAGTGCGGCCGGGCCTTCGGGCAGAGCTCCCACCTGACGCAGCACCTGCGCATCCACACGGGCGAGCGGCCCTACGTCTGCTCCGACTGCGGCCGGGCCTTCAGCGCCAGCTCCAACTTCCTGGCGCACCGGCGCACCCACACGGGCGAGAAGCCCTACGACTGCTCCGTGTGCGGGCGCAGCTTCCGCGCCAGCTCCACGCTGCAGCGGCACCGGCGCCTGCACACCGGCGAGCGCCCCTACCGCTGCGGGCACTGCGGCCGCACCTTCTCCCAGAGCTCCTCGCTGGCCAAGCACCGGCGCCTGCACACCGGCGAGCGGCCCTACCGCTGCGGGCAGTGCGGGGAGGCCTTCGCAGTGCAGTCGGGGCTGGCCGCCCACCGGAGCCGGCACACGGGCGAGCGCCCCTTCGCCTGCCCCGACTGCGGCAAGGGCTTCCGGCGCAGCTCCGACCTGGTGCAGCACCAGCGCGCCCACACCGGGGAGCGGCCCTTCCGCTGCGGCCAGTGCGGCGCCGGCTTCAACCTGGCCTCCACCCTGGTCAACCACCAGCGCAGCCACACCGGCGAGCGGCCCTACCGCTGCCAGCGCTGCGGGGCCAGCTTCGCCCGCAGCTCCACCCTGGCGCGCCACCGGCGGGGCCACGGGCCCGAGGGCGCCGGGCAGGGCAGGCGGCAGGAGGCAGAGCCCGCCCCCCAGCCGGGCCCCCTGAATCAGGGCTCCTGCCCCCCGCCCAAGCATGGCCCCCTGGATCACAGCTCAGAGCCCCTCTCTGGCCAGGACACCCTCACCCAGCAGGGCCCCCTGGGTAACGGCTCAGAGCCCCTCTCTGGCCAGGATACCCTCACCCAGCAGGGCCCCCTGGGTCACAGCTCAGATCCTGCCCCCCAGCAGCCCCCCACGGATCATGGGTCTGATCCTACCTCCGACCAGGGTCTCCCCAGCCAGCCCCCCGTGGGTCACAGGTCAGATCCTGCCCCCCAGCAGCCCCCCATGGGTCATGGGTCTGATCCTGCCTCCGACCAGGGTCTCCCCAGCCAGCCCCCCGTGGGTCACAGGTCAGATCCTGCCCCCCAGCAGCCCCCCATGGGTCATGGGTCTGATCCTGCCTCCGACCAGGGTCTCCCGAGCCAGCCCCCCGTGGGTCACAGGTCAGATCCTGCCCCCCAGCAGAACCCCCTGAGTCAGGGCACCATAGATCAGGGCCCGGCCCCCCAGCCTGGCACTATGGGTCATGGGTCAGATCCTGCCCCCCAGCACGGCCCCCCAGCTCGGCCCCCCGCCCCCCAGCCGGGCGAGCGCCCCTACCCGTGCCTGGTGTGCGGGAAGCGGTTCTCCCGCAGCTCCAACCTGGTGGCCCACCAGCGGATCCACGCGGGCGACAAGCCGTTCCGGTGCCCGGAGTGCGGGCGCGGCTTCCTGCGGGGCTCCAACCTGCGGACGCACCGGCGGCTGCACACGGGCGAGCGCCCCTACCCCTGCCCCGAGTGCGGCAAGCGCTTCGGCGACACCTCTGTGCTGGTCAAGCACCAGCGCATCCACACGGGCGAGCGCCCCCACCGCTGCCCCGACTGCCCGCGCCGCTTCAGCCAGGCCTCGGACCTGGTGGCCCACCGGCGGGTGCACACGGGCGAGAAGCCCTACGTCTGCGCCGAGTGCGGGCGCGGCTTCAGCCGCAGCTCCAACCTGCTGACGCACCGGCGGCTGCACCGCGGCGAGCGCCCCTACCCCTGCCCCCAGTGCGGCAAGAGCTTCGGCCAGAGCTCCGACCTGCTGCAGCACCAGCGCACCCACACCGGCGAGCGCCCCTTCGCCTGCGCCCAGTGCGGCAAGGCCTTCAGCAAGGGCTCGACCCTCACCGGGCACCAGCGCATCCACACGGGCGAGCGGCCCTTCGCCTGCCCGGCCTGCTGCAAGCGCTTCCGCCACAGCTCCCACCTCACCGCCCACCTGCGGGTGCACGCCCGGGAGCGGCCGCTGTGAGCCGGAGACCCCCGGCCCTGCCCCCCGGTCCTACTGTGCACGCCCGGGAGCGGCCGCTGTGAGCCGGAGACCCCCGGCCCTGCCCCCCGGTCCTACTGTGCACGCCCGGGAGCGGCCGCTGTGAGCCAGAGAGATCCCCGGCCCTACTCCCCGGCTCTCACCACGCTACCCACCTCTATGCACGCCCGGGAGCAGCCGCTGTGAGCCGGAGAGATCCCCGGTCCTACTGTGCACACCCGGGAGCGGCCGCTGTGAGCCGGAGACCTCCGGCCCTACCCCCCGGTCCTACTGTGCACGCCTGGTCCGGCCCTGCCCCCTGGCTCCCACTGCACCGCCCGCCTCTGTGCACGCCCGGGAGCGGCCGCTGTGAGCCGGAGAGATCCCCGGCTCTACTCCCCGGCTCCCACCATACTACCCACCTCTATGCACGCCCGGGAGCGGCCGCTGTGAGCCGGAGACCCCCGGCCCTGCTCCCCGGTCCTACTGTGCACGCCCGGGAGCGGCCGCTGTGAGCCGGAGACCCCCGGCCCTGCCTCCTGGTCCTACCCGACCGCCCACCTCTGTGCACGCCTGGGAGCGGCCGCTGTGAGCCGGAGAGATCCCCGGCCCTGCCCCCCTGGTCCTACCCGACCGCCCGCCTCTGTGCACGCCCGGGAGCGGCCGCTGTGAGCCGGAGACCCCCGGCCCTGCCCCCTGGTCCTACTGTGCACACCTGGGAGCGGCCGCTGTGAGCCGGAAAGACCTCCGGCCCTGCCCCCCTGGTCCTACTGTGCACGCCTGGTCCGGCCCTGCCCCCTGGCTCCCACTGCACCGCCCGCCTCTGTGCACGCCCGGGAGCAGCCACTGTGAGCCGGAGACCCCCGGCCCTGCCCCCCTGGTCCTACTGTGCACGCCCGGGAGCAGCCACTGTGAGCCGGAGACCCCCGGCCCTGCCCCCCTGGTCCTACCCGACCGCCCACCTCTGTGCACGCCTGGGAGCGGCCGCTGTGAGCCGGAGAGATCCCCGGCCCTACTCCCCGGCTCCCACCACACTACCCACCTCTATGCACACCCGGGAGCAGCTGCTGTGAGCTGGCGGAGCCCTGGGGGGTGCCATGTACTGCCCCACAGCCACATCAGAGGGCGCATGCCCAGGAGAGGTAGCCCTGAGACACGCCCCCCCACAGCTCTGTGACGGGAGTGTGGGCTGGTGGGTTAGAGCCAGGGGCGGGAGGCTGGGAGCCAGGACTCCTGGGTTCTCTCCCTGGCTCTGTTTTACATTCTCCAATCCTGGCTCTTGGCACTGATTTCCCTGAGGACCTGACCCCGGGCTTTGTCCCTGTGGGGGCTGCCCCCCAGTTTTGCCTTGGCTGGCTAGGGCTGCTTTTAGAGGTCATAGGCTCCAGGCTGGAGGCGGACGTGGGCGCTACAGGCCCAGGGCAGGGCCCTGCTCCCAGAGTCAGGGTATTACAGCAGAGTCTCAGCTTGCATTTAACAAATGCTGTCAGCTCTCTTGGATGTGGAGAAATGCACCAAAACGTGACCCTGCCACCTGCCTGAATGTGCCGAGAGCCTGAACCCGGTGCCGCGAGGGGCAGCTGCCCTGAGTGTGCCGAGAGCCTGAACCCGGTGCCGCGAGGGGGCGGCTGCCCTGAGTGTGCCGAGAGCCTGAACCCGGTGCCGCGAGGGGGCGGCTACCCTGAGTGTGCCGAGAGCCTGAACCCGGTGCCGCGAGGGGCGGCTGCCCTGAGTGTGCCGAGAGCCTGAACCCGGTGCCGCGAGGGGGCGGCGGCCCTGAGTGTGCCGAGAGCCTGAACCCGGTGCCGCGAGGGGCGGCGGCCCTGAGTGTGCCGAGAGCCTGAACCTGGTGCCGCGAGGGGCGGCTGCCCTGAGTGTGCTGGGAGCCTGAACCCGGTGCCGCGAGGGGCGGCTGCCCTGAGTGTGCCGAGAGCCTGAACCTGGTGCCGCGAGGGGCGGCTGCCCTGAGTGTGCCGAGAGCCTGAACCTGGTGCCGCGAGGGGCGGCTGCCCTGAGTGTGCCGGGAGCCTGAACCCGGTGCCGCGAGGGGCGGCTGCCCTGAGTGTGCCGAGAGCCTGAACCCGGTGCCGCGAGGGGGCGGAGCCTGAACCCGGTGCCGCGAGGGGGCGGCTGCCCTGAGTGTGCCAGACGCAGTGACACTGCTTGAGTCTGCACAGAGCCTGCGCCTGTCCCAGCGAGGGGGGGGGGATCTCCTCCTGCCCCACTGCGTGGGGCACCCAGCGGACGGGAAGTGGCAGGAACACACGGCTTCCCTGTTCCCCTGGGGTGACGCGGGGGAGGTCCCGGGGTGTGGGGCGGGGGCCGGTCAGCGCTCGGCTGTGCCCAATGATTCACAGAGAGCGGCTGAGTGTGCACAGGCCCCTGTGTGGCGATTCGGGCCCAGCCCCACGGCGGCTCGTTCCCCACCGGGGAGTCCACGCAAAGGGGGTTTCCAGCAGAGGGGGGGGATTCTGTTGATTTCCCCCCTTGTGTAAATAAATGTGATGTGCAGAATTCAGCTCCGGAGTCCGGACTCCTGACTGGTGAACATGGAGCCTGCCTGGGGCAGGGGCCTGTCCCCTCTAGGGGGCGCCGGCTCCCACCCGGCCCCAGGGCAGGGACTGGCTGGCTCAGGGGGGCGGGGAATGGGGCAGGGGCCTGTCCCCTCTAGGGGGCGCCGGCTCCCACCCGGCCCCAGGGCAGGGACTGGCTGGCTCAGGGGGGCGGGGAATGGGGCAGGGGCCTGGTCCCCTGTGGGGTGCCGGCTCCCATCTGGCCCCCAGGGCAGGGACGGGCTGGCTCAGGGGGGCAGGGAATGGGGGCAGGGGCCTGTCCCCTGCTGGGCGCTGGCTCCGATCCGGCCCCAGGACGGGGACTGGCTGGCTCAGGGGGGGCAGGGAAAGGGGCTGGGGGCCTGTCCCCCTGCGGGGCGCTGGCTCTGATCTGACCCCAGGACGGGGACTGGCTGGCTCAGGGGGGCGGGAAGGGGGCCTGTTCCCTGTGGGGTGCTGGTTCTGTGAATCCGCCAGCCGCTTGGGTTTTGCTGCTGGGACATGTTTTGCCGCCAAGCCCTGGCGCTGGGGTGAGGCACCGACGCGGGTGATGATTACAAACAGTTCTTTATGATCCATATTGCAGCAATGCCCTGGCCTCGGGTGCTCGGAGCTGTACGGCCAGCAAAGGAAAGGGGCAATTTCCCATAGCCCTTAGTTCCCTGCCTTGGCGTGCGGCCCTGGGCGGGACAGCGCGGGGGGCGCGGAGGTGAGCCAGTGAACCCGGGGGCAGCGGAGTTGGAGAGCAGAAATCAATTGGCAATCAGTGGGGCCCCCAGGTTCTCAAGGGCCAGACGACGTTTCCGAATCAAGTCATGTGTCCAGCCATGGGACGCGATCTGCAAGGAACCCAGGCGTCCGCGTGGAAAATCCGGCCTGGGGGAAAAACAAGGGAATGAGCGAAAACGGACCGGGGGGTGGAGGGAAAACCTGCTGATGTTGGTAAAGGCATTAGCTAGGGGAAAGGCGGGGGTCACCCCCCCCCCAGAAACCCCACTGGGGGGCGGAGGGGAGACTGGCGGTACTGGGAGCTGGGGAAGTCGGCTGGAGTACCTGCTGTGGCCACGGGGGGGCGGATCTGCTCCCCCAGAAATCCCCAGGTGCGGAGTGGGGGCTGTGTAGGGGGGCAGGGGGTCGCTGCACTTACCGGACCCACGGGATCATCTGTCTTCGGGCACCTCTTCCTCTGGGGGAGGAGAAGGGGGCAGGTTAGTCAGTGCATGGGGAGGGGGGGTGTCCCCCCCAGCCCGGTGTCAAGGGGGTTTGCGAGGGGGTATGCCACAATGAGGAAGGGGGCACAGGGAGCTCCCAGGGGCATGTCTCCCATGGGGAAGGGAGTGCGTGGGGGTGGGACAGGGAAGACCTGGAGTGGAGCCCCAGGGAGAGGGGGCCCCAGGAGGTGTATCCCCGACAGGGAGGGGGCAGGGGGAATGGGGGGGGCTCCTGGAGGGGGGATCCCTGTGGGAAAGGGGAGCCCAGAGGCATAGCCCCTTGGGGAGGGGCAGGGAGAAGGCCCAGGGGGCTCCTGGATAGGGGAGCCCGGGGGGGGCAAGACCCCAGGGGCATATCCCCCCAGGACCCCACTCCCTGTATAAAGGGGACGCCAGGGGGGTCTCTCACCTGAGACCAGGCCCAGTCTGGACTGTCCCAGCGTCCAGCCAGCTGCAAAGACACAAGCGGTGGGTGAGTTCGGGAGACGAGTTGTGACCGTTCTCAGCCCAGCTGATCCCCCCCCCCCCGAGCCGGCGCCCGAGCCCCCTGCCCTGCCCCACTCTTACCTCGTCTCCTCCACAGCAGCAGCACCCCCGCCAGGCCGGCCAGGCCCCCCAGCACCGCCAGAGTCACCCCGGCCACGGTCTTGAGGGAAACACCCCCTCTGTCCGACCGGCTCCTGGGGGCTGGGACAGAGCCATGGGGAGAACGGTTAGAAATGGGGGTGGGAGGCTCCCGGCAGCAGGGGGCTGGCAGGGCAGTGGGGGGAAGGGGGCACTGGGGGGATACCCGGTGGCAGGGCACGTGGGGGGG